TGTGCTATACAGTATGATTTTGTTTATCTGTTCTACAATTTTGAAATCCCAGTCTGTCCCTTCCCACCCCCTGCCCCCTTGGCAACCACAAGTTTGTATTCTCTGTCCATGAGTCTATTTCTGTTTTGTATTTATGCTTTTTTTTTTTTGATTCCACATATGAGCGATCTCATATGGTATTCTCTCTCTTTCTGCCTAGGAAGAGCATACTCTGAACATGTGGGATTTAGAAGAGGGATCAGCTAGAGTCTGATCCATGAGGGTCCCTCGAAAGCGATCTGAGTGGTGTGCTCCTCTCCAGCCACTGCAGTCCACCTTCTGTGCTGCATGCGTCCACTTCAGTTCAGGGAGGAGGGTCCTCCACGCCTAGGAGTGACTCCTACAGAGGAACAAAGGAAGTGTCACAGGATGAACTACAGCCCCCTTCACTGCGGTTGACGTCAGGGCAATAAGTAATCCTCAGCTTCCTTTCTCCACTGTCCTCCCTGAATTCCCCTTGCCTCAGCTACCATGTCTGCAGGTCTTGGCTTACCTGCTGGAAGGTATGGAATTTCCAAACTGATTCCTGAGGAGTCTAATGTCTTGGTGGGCACTCCTGTAAGTGGGGGCAGCTGTGGGTTTCCATTAAGTTTCAGCACTTTCAACTCCAAGTACTTGAAACCTGGCTCTGACAATCTGACAGTTATTAATCATGTGGCATTTGGTAACTTACCTCTTCAGTTCTCCCATCAACAGGAGGGGATACTGCCCTCTTAAGGGGTGTCTGTGCGAGTATCGAGTGAGAATATAGATAAATTATCACCCATCAAAATGTTAGTCTCCCAACACATTATGGAGATCTGTGTATTCTAAGCACTGTTATCCTAGACCTTTGCTTTGATCCTTGCTAGCCTATACCAATCTCCTCTGTCTATCTGGACTTGTTTGGATAATTGACTCCAACTGGGGGTTTTCTAGAGGCAGGTGCAAGCTAGGAGATGATCCCATGTCTTTGGCGAAAGGTTCCTACCTCACAAGGCTGTCCTCACTGCACATGGAAAGAGAAGTCAGCTCTTTAAGTGCGTAGCATAGCCTTGGTCCCATTGGGCCCATGAACTCCTAACTTGGCTGTGATGAACTCATTCTGGTGTTTGTGCTTAACTAGAGCTCACCTATCTGGATACTGTCTCTAAAGTCCATCTCTTTTTCTGTGTAGGGTAACTGAGTCTTTGAATTAACAAGAATTTCTAAAGCAAACTGAAATGATTAGCCCTACTTCTGTGTGTGTGTGTGTGTGTGTGTGTTTTGTAAAGACTGCCAATCAGTTGTCACCAAAGTTGGGAGAACTTAACTTGGTCTTCAGTAACTTGTAATGAGCTATGAAGATTTTTAAATCTAAGTTTGAGCCTTACCAGGCGTTCAGATCTGAGCATGCTTTGCCACGTACAATTTTGCGAGCTCAGGTTGAGGGTGAGGGGAAAGAGGCTTATCTCAAAGAACGTGCCATAGATTAAAAAGCACAGATGCCTTGAAGGAACCCTCAAGGTGCCCAATGTCTTCCTGAGTCAATCTGCACACATCACAGCCTGTTTGTGGTCTCACGTGCCTTGGCTCTGGCAGAAAATATTTGCTCACTCTTAGTTTTAGTGTTTATCCATTTATACTCCCACAAAACACTGTGGGAAGGTGTGAAAAGGACTTCCCATATCCCACATCCTCACTATCACTTGGTTCTGTTTGACTTTTTGCTAATCTTGTGGGTGTGAAATGGTATCACACTCAAGGGCCTTAAAGTTCATTCCTAAATACAGACTATGGGTGAAATCACAGTGTGGTTGCTGCAAATGGTGTGACTTTCAAGAACGGTAACTTAATTTCTGAGAATTTCCCACGTAACAATGTGCAACCTTCAACTTACAGTAGTTGAGTTCCTGGAAAACTCTGCATGTATGAAACCAAGCCGAAAACACTATGCGAGGTGCAGTTAGAGTTGACTCAGACAGCTGGTTTTCTTCACTTGCTTGAAGGTAACGCATGCCTCCATGTTTCCGGGACTTCTACTGTCTATGCCTGCCTCACTGAGAATCAACGCTCGAAGGTGCACTGTGTGCCAGTGTAACTGTTGATATCCGGGTACAACACTAACCTACTTTAGGAAGTTACTTGTTTCTTCTCAAATATGCCTGATCATCTTGAGAATCTCTTTCCTTTGGACATAAATGTAAAGAGTGCCAAAAGATCTCATTTCAATCTTATTTCAGTAGACTTTCTATACCTGATTCTGTGTACTTTGTTTTTGCTGCTATCCGTTAGTCATGGTGTTGCTCTTGGCATTTTCAAAGCTTTATCTTCAAAATATTTCCACTTCAAAATATGAAGTCTATTTCAGAATGGTCCAAGTCATATCTGCATTTGCTTCTGTTAGGGATCTAGGACAAAAATAAAAGCAAGCCACTTCTGGGAAAAAAAATTGCTGGTGCTTATTAAAGGACTTATAGATATAGCATAAGTCACAAAGAATAAGACCGCTCCTATTCAATAGTATTGAATGTGGAGAAAGTAAATTGCAAATAAAACTGTAAAAAAAAAATTTACTCCCTAAAAGTAATATTATCACCATAAAGGACATCATGTTGATGAAAGACTTGCTCTGTACGGGCATAACTGACCAGAAACATCTTTGAAGAACATGTACAATAATACACTGTTTGTCACAAAAATACGTAAAACTACATCTTATCTCTTGAGCAATAGAACTTCTGAGACTTTTTTCCCCTAGGTTATAATCCTCAGTTTGGCTTGAATAAAATTCTCTTTCCTTAAAAAAAAAAAAAGTGGGGGAGGGTATAGCTCAAGTGGCAGAGCACATGTATAGCATGCACAAGGTCCTGGGTTCAATCCCCAGTACCTCTAAAAATAAACCTAATTACCTCCCTCCCCATGCCAAAAAAAAAAAAGACCCACAAAAAACAAAGTAATACTATGCAATTTTCAAGGATGAAAATGTATAGAGTATCAGCACAGAGATGGGAAGGACTAACTTCGGGATTGCTTGTCTCTGGGGAAGGGAGTACACGGAATGAGATGGCACACTTGTCTAAACTATCATTTTTAAAAATCTAAAATTCAATATCAACATTATTTAGAGATTTTTAAGTAGATTTTTATTTGTAAACATAACTAAATTCTTTAGCTATCTTTGAGATCAGCTGGGTCAAAGTTCAGAATGAATCCATGCCTTCAAAACCGCCAACTGCATCCTACCCTTGACTATAGTCACTGACAATCATGCAAACATAGTTAACACATTTTGAACAGCAAACTTTGATTTACTCCATCTGGACAGAAAGCAGACCTGGACTGGGCCTGTAGCTTGAAGTCTCAGCTGTTTAGGAGGTTTAGAAACGCAGGCAAAGATCAACATGGGATCAGGTCATCTGTCACAGTCCACATCCAAGTGGGTTTTTAGTTCAGAGTGTTGAGTGCTTAGTGTCCAGAATGGAGTTGGCCTCTGGAACAAGGGAGTGGACTAGAATCTGGGAGGCACTAGGGAAGGGGGGGGTTGGAGAAGGAGCCCAGAAGACCTGGTGTTACCTATATGTACACAAGAAGCTACAGATGTTTCTACAGTGTTAACTCTACCCCAGATTGTTTGGGGGGTTACCTGTCAGTGACAGGGAAAAACAACACTGCAGGCTGGATGTTGCCAAGGGGCAACTCTAGACTGGAGTTTAGACTCAGGCTAGACTCACTGGCTGGAACTCTGATCACTGCCTTTTTCCTTGGAAGATGTGAATCAGACTAAGTTGGAGAAGATGCATGAGAGCTGGTAGGATAGTGAGAACCATTCAGAAGTCTGGCTGGCATCTGTGACCCTGACCAGGAGTTACAGAACTGCTGCTTCCCACCAGCCACACGGCTTCACATCTGGGTACTGGCCAGCAGTTTCCACTACACAGTCTTCCCCAAATGCCTCCAACATGGCTCGCTAGGAGTCAGCCTTTCTTACCATGAGCTCCTCCCATATTGGAAGCCATGGCTTTCATCATGGGCTGGCACCTGTCCCACCATGCTCCAAAGATCGTCATTTTTCCTGCATCTTCTCATGCAATGAGGTAGTTCTCAGGGTATTCCAAAAAATGGCCACCCTCTGAAACCACATGGTTACCGCCAGTGGAGGTCTCTTTTCCAAGGAGTGGTACCTGGCTTAGAGATGGTAGTGATGACATACCAAGCTGCCTGTGCCATCTTTCCCTGAATCCACCCCAGGTCAACTCAACTTTCTACTTGTGGCTGCTTTTGACAGTTAATTTTAGCCCCAAATCACTACCACCCATGCTAAGGGAGGCAGGTTCCCTTTCCTACTTAACAAAAGCTGGTTTCTTCTCACTAAATGTTTTGTGGTGGTTTCAGGTTTGATCTGATTGAACTTCCAAACTTTGTATGGACTCTAGATGTCTCAGGATTCTTCCCTGTGCAGCTTTCATATGAACTAAAACTTGGGTCAACAGGACCTCACTAGGAACTCCCAGAGCAGATCCTTGCTCTGACATTTATTTCAATGTAGTTGTCCTCAGTCTAGCTCTGAGCCTTAAGTAAATGTGCTCAATATTTTGGATGTGTCTAATTTTTACTAGATTTTAATTTCCTTCTGATAGACTTTTTGGTTTACTAGATGTCTCTTGCTTTACTCCTAAGTCACTTTGATATTTTTCTGAGCTCCTTGATAATTCTCACCACTATTTCCCTCTCACTTCTACTGAAATTTTAAGGTCCAGTCACATTAAGAGTTTTATCCTCCAATGTGGATTTTACTAATATACAGGCATTTAACATTCTGCTATCCTGTACTTTCCACTGAGCAAGAAAGTGTCCTCTCTTGGGAGAATCTTCTTGTTCTTGTCTCCCTTAGATTCTCTCCAAGGGAATTTAACACTGTAAATGAATCTTACTTCTGTTAGAAGCTCCCTAAGTACCCCTTCGGCCAGGCATTAGTGATGTATCAGGTAATGATGGACAGAAATCGTTGAGTTTTCATGAGTACGTGGAAGAACACTGGACTGGTAAAGGAGGATTGTGTTGAAGGGTGGAGAGAAGTCTTTGTTCTCATTTTTCTAAAGTGAACAGGAAGGTTTGCCCTATTCTTGTCATAGGGAATAAGTGTCATATGGTTTCTCAAAGTGCATCTCAGATGTGAATTTAATTGCAAGTAGTTTACTTGGGAGATGTGGGAAAGCTGGTCGAACAGGGAAGTGAAATGTGGAGAGGAAGGCATCCAGTAACGGTGTGTTATGCCAGCCACCACTGGAAACTAGCCTAAGAAAACCACAGAAAGGTAAAATATGCCTAGGAATTCTTGTACCTGAGGTGCAAAAGGAGCTAGTGTATTTTCCACATGAACCTCTCAGTTCCTGGGTGGGGGGGGGTCATGTGGGAGGCTTCTAGCAGATGAGTGAACAACAAGCCCAGGGGTACGCTCCTCTGAGGACAGACCCCAGCAGTGATCCACTATGGTGACGGTACGCCATGCGATCATTGTCACCCTAGGATGGACTGAGCTAACAGACCGTGAAGCTTTGTGTAGGGCTGGCAGAGACCGTTAGGTTAGCATGGTGTTCTGAGGGCTCCCCATGCCCAGTCCAGCTTCTTTCCCTCTTATTCACAGGCGTTACTCCCCAGTAAACCTTCTGCAAGCATCTCTCTTTAAATATTTGCTTCTGGAAGAGCCCAATTTGTAACACCTTCCTCACTTGCCCAAGACTGATTGGAGTGTTCTGCCTGAGGGGTTCCTGTTCCACACGTCCAAACTTGATTGCTGCTGGGGTCATCAGGCACCGAGTTCACGATGGGCCGCTTGTGTCGCATAGCTGCGTGGTGCATCGGGCCCTGAAAGGATCCAGCAGCAATCCCGCAGGGGCTTTTCAAGTGGACTATACCTGTTATACAGGAAGAGGACACGTGTCTGGGGGCTTGCCAGAGGCTCCATTAGCATCCTCTCTCCAACGTACCTTCAATTCCAGTGGATCTACAGAGCATAAGGAGCAGGGAGAGGTGTCACACAACAAAGACGAGCTTCAGGGCTTCTCTTGTTCTGAGCCCCCATCTTAGAAGATCAGATAACTCAGAGCTACTGGCGTCTCTATTCGGAAGAGATTCTGTTGTCTTCCTCCTATTCTTGCATATTGGATGCTTAAAAGTCAGTATTTCACTGTAAATATCCGCTTTTTTCTCTAAATTTTCGTTTAAAGTTTTCCCTGTTAAACTTAGCAAATATTTCAGGATACATGGAGGTATTTTACCAGTCCTTCCTGATTTCCCTTCCAAATCATTCTCTAGTTCAGGGAAATTTTCTTTTATTACTTTCATTCTCAGGCATTCCTGAAGAAAAAGTCCCCACACATACTAACCTTGTATCTGTCCTCAAGCCTCTGCACCAGTGTACCATTGTGGCTGTGTCAGACAAAAGCTTCCAGCATCCATCTTCCTACAGTGGCTCCATTCAAAATCCCTAGGCTTTGCGTTTGAATAGGTAAAAATCATTTATACCCTGAGGTTCTTCTACCAGAAACTGCATCCCTTCTTTCAAAGGCCACTGAACTTTAACCTTCTTATTGGGGCTCTCTAGGATGCAGTGAGCTGTTGGGATCATGTGTAGGCTTTGCCTATGGGACTTCAGTTCTGTTCCCCAGTCCTGTTCTTGTCCTTTATCTCAAGGAGTCATTGACTTTTCCTGAACTTGCCTGCAAGCTTAGTATAGAGTTGTTCTCTTCCCCCTCATCCCGTTGTCCTAAAGAATATTTTTTGAACACTTGTTCTCCAGTTAATAATAGGAAACCTCCTGCAAATTGTTCTGATCTTATTCAAAGTTAATCTCAGTCCAGACAGTAGTGAAATCGTCTAAATACACGATTCCAGACTACTGAGATGTTGTCACTCATGTGATCCTTTATAGCAACTTCTCTTCCCTAGTCCTCACAAACCTTAGTGACCTGGGACTGATGGCAATATTAAAAGCACATTTAAGCATCCCAACCTGGATTTGGAATCCTAATTCACTTAAGCTCTATCATTCTAATTGGAGTCAACAGGATCCCAGGAATTTGTAGAGAAGTCAATTGGTAGATCTCAAAACACAGGGATGCCCAGGTCCAGTCTGACTACACTCAGGCCCCCACCTAGGGAAAGCACTAACGTCTCCCAGGGGTAGCGTGTCTCCTAGGAATCTAGGCGGGTTGTGCACTAGTCTAGGGTATCCGGGTAGCTTCTGGCATGAGGAGGCCCTGGGAGTACTCCACATGATTGGTATCTGGGGGGAGGTGAGCTTTGGAAATCAGTCCTGGTGCATGTGGCTTAGTTACTTCTAACAGTGGTGTTTCAGCTTGAATCAAAGATCTTATCACTGACTGTGAATCACAGAAAATCGGGTAAAACAAGGAGCAAGACAGGTACCAGTCAGAATCTGCTTCCAAGCTCCCTGTTATTAAAAAGCAACAGTGTTTGGGGCGGAGGGTGGGCGGTTCAGGCAG